CCCGCCACAACGCCTGGCCATTTTTTTGGTTGCAGCCATCATTGTGGTTTGGTGGGCCCGGGCTGGGGATTCGAACCCACCACCTTAGGTGTATGTAGCTGGCACCTTAGCCACTTGAGCCATAGGCGCCGAGCCGAAAAGTAGGAATCTTTAACAAAGCTGCGGACATATTCCTATCGGTGCTGGAAGGTCGCCTATATTTTAATCTTCATAAATCTGAGTGATAAGAACAGGCATTTTATGCACTTTAACCTGGGGTTTCTAACTTTGCATTTAGAGTCAAACCCCTTGTGTATTTATACACAAGACCCCTTTATATTATAGTAGAACCTCAACAGCTGACCACCTCCCTACACTGACCACCTCCTTAGGATGACCTGATTTTCACAGAATGAACATGAGTGACATGTATGTCTCAGCACAGAAGGCCCAGTTCCTTATGTTAACCACCTCTGTATGCTGATCAGTTTGTTACAGTCCCTTGGGTGGTCACCTTACTGTATTACATTTTCAGGAGGAGTCCTAACAGATTTGTATAGAGATTATCTTTTTTTTTCTTTTTTTGAGACAGAGTCTCACTATGTCACCACTGGTAGAGTGCCATGGTGTCACAGTTCACAGCAACCTCAAACTCTTGGGCTTAAGTGATTCTCTTGCCTCAGTCTCCTGAGTAGTTGGGACTACAGGTGCCCACCACAATGCCCAGCTATTTTTTGTGTGTGTGTGCTGTTGTTGTAGTTGTCATTGTGGTTTGGTAGGCCCAGGCTGAGTTTGAACCTGGCAGCCCCAGGGTATGTGGCTGGCACCGTAACCACTGAGCTATAGGCAACAAATTTATACAGAGATCCCAAGAACGGTGCTGGGAGTGGAGTTGGAGGGATGAGGTATAGCCCCTAATCAACTGAGAATCACTGCCACCACGAGCCAACGTTCCTAAAGAGTGTGTCATGTCAGATTTCTTATAGAAGAAAGGGCTGAAAACAACTGTTTTAAACTTCCCTTACCCAAAGGGGAAGGTGAATAAGGCCTGGAAGACCCAGTGGAGAGTCTTCGTCCAACTGTCTGTACTGTGTCTGCTGGCACTGGGGAGCAAGATCCCAGCCGGAGAAAGCCCATGGGGCTAGTGTTGGACCTTCGGACCACTGCAGATCTGAAAAGTAAAAGAGAATTATTCCCTCTCTGGCAGGTTCTAGAACTTTCTCTGTATTCCTGTTTTTTTCTGAAACTTCATAACAGTATGCCCTGGAGTAGAGTTTTTAACAATATGTAACACAGTCACAAGGATAGAGGGAAGTCTGCCGCCCACCTTTACTCTCTATCTACCATTAATTCCTAACACTTCCCCAATTCTACTCAAAAGATTACCACTATTTTTAGTTTCTAGAGTATCCTCCCACAGTTCCTTACCATGTATACAAGCAAAGTGAATACATAATTTTCACCTTGCTTCAACACCAAAGGTGAAATTATGTACCAAACATTTTGAATCTTTTTGGTCTTAAGTCTCCTTTATACTCTTAAAAATTATGAAGGCCCAGAGAATTTCTGTTTACGTCTACTGACATTTACTGTATTAGAAATTAAACTGAGAAACTTTAAAAATTAATTCATTAAAAATAATAAAAACTTATAGGCGGCACCCATAGCTCAGTGGGTAGGGTGCCGGCCACTTACACCCAGGCTGGTGGGTTTGAACCTGGCCAGGACCAGCTAAACAGCAATGACAACTACAACAAAAAAAATAGCTGGGCATTGTGGCAGGCGCCTGTAGTCCCAGCTACTTGGGAGGGTGAAGCAAGAGAATCGCTTAGGCCCAAGAGTCTGAGGTTGCTGTGAGCTGTGATGCCGTAACACTACCCAGGGTGACAGCTTGAGATTCTGTCTCAAAAAAATAAAAAATAAACAAATAAAACAGAAATAAAGAAAACCATAGTTTATTGTTTCCATTTCATAATATACCCTGAAAGATTTTCTACCTCTGTATGTAGAGCTTCCTTACTCTTTTTGGAACGGAAGATACACAGTATTCCACTGTCAGAGATGGACTATATAAAATTAGTTCTGGGCGGTGCCTGTGGCTCAGTGGGCAAGGTGCCAGCCCTATATACTGAGGGTAATGGGTTTGAACCCTGCCCTGGCCAAACTGCAACGAAAAATAGCTGGGTATTGTGACAGGTGCCTGTAACCCCAGCTACTCAGGAGGCTGAGGCAAGAGAATTGCTTAAGCCCAAGAGTTGGAGGTTGCTGTGATCTGTGACGCCACAGCACTCTACCAAAAAAAAGGTGACAAAGTGAGACTCTGTTTCAAAAAAAAAAAAAAGAAAAGAAAAAAGGGAAGTGCCTGTGGCTCAAAGGAGTAGGGCACTGGCCCCATATGCTGGAGGTGGCGGGTTCAAACCCAGCCCCAGCCAAAAACTGCAAAAAAAAAAAAAAAAAAAAAAAAATTAGTTCCTTACTGGGAGGTATATGGCTGATTCCTTATCCTTTGCTATTGCAACAGTTAAATAATAGTTAACAACTTTGTTTATGTATCAATTTCACATACAGGCAGGGCTGCATGTGTAGAATATGCACATGACTCTGCACGAATAAAACAAGTTTCCAGAAGTTGAAGCACCCTTCCTCCTCCTCCTTGAGTTCTCTTAGGGAGCCATGTGGGCACAGTGATTCTCATTTTTTCAGAATCCCTGATTAAATGCACCCTTACATATGCCATGCTTCAAGCAGGTACCCTTCTTCCATCCTTTCTGTTTTCCAGAAGTTTACTGTTCACCACTGAACATCTAGTCTGATTTCACTTATCTCTGTGGGACTTGTAACTTTGTTATTCCCTGCCTATAAGGGTCCCAGGATGAGGAAGAAACAGTGTGTAAATAATCTGATGCAACTGGCAGGATGTCGTTTTTTTAAAAAGTTCTTCCTCAATTCTTTAAAGCAATTATATTTTAAGCATATATATAGCAAATAAGCATGTTATAGATACAAATATATCCACATCATATTATTGTCCACATCCACATTATTAACAAGCCAAGCTTTAAATATCATTTAAACAGACCAATTATAAAACATTTTTATAATTCAGTTTTGTACAATTTTGTGCATTTCCATTATATACATATGTAAACAGACTAAGTCTACCATGGAAACTGAAGATCTTTCAACAATAGCAGCAAAAGATTTCTTTTCTTTTTGCTTTTTTTTTTTTGAGACAGAGTCTCACTTTGTCACAGCAACCTCAAGCTCTTGGGCTCAAGTGATCCTCCTGCCTGAGCCTCCTGAGTAGCTGGGACTATGGGCGCCTACCACAACCCCTGGCTACTTTTTAGGGTCTTGCTCTTGCTCAGGCTGGTTGTGAACTCTGCAGCTCAAGCAATCCATCCTCCTCAGAGATGCTAGGAATATAGATGTGAGCCACTGTGCTCAGCCTAGCAAAAGATTTTTTTATTTTTTGTTTGAGACAGAGTCTCACTATGTTGCCCTTGGTAGAGTGCTGTAGTGTCATAGCTCACAGCAACCTCAAACTCTTAGGCTTAAGAAATTCTCTTGCCTCAGCCTCCCAACTAGCTAGGACTCCAGGCGCCTGCCTCAATGCCTGGCTATTTTTTTTTTTTTTTTGTAGTTGTCATTGTTGTTTAGCAGGCCCAGGCTGGGTTTGAACCTGCCAACTCCAGTGTATGTGGCCGGTACCCTAACCACTTAACTACGGGCTCCAAGCCAAGCAAAAGATTTTGTAAAAGAAAAAAAAGGGGCCAGGCATGGTGGCTCATGCCTATAATCCTAGCACTCTAGGAGGCCAAGGCAGGAAGATCCCTTGAGGTCAAGAGATCAAAACCAGTCTGAGCAAGAGTGAGATGCCATGTCTACTAAAAACAGAAAAAAACAGCCAGGCTTGTGGCAGGTGCCTGTAATTACAGCTACTCGGGAGGCTGAGGCAAGAGGATAGCTTGAGCCAAAGTTTTAAGTTGCTGCAAGCTATGACGTCATGGCACTCTATCTAGGGTGACAGTGAGACTCTTATCCCAAAAAAAAAAGAGAGAGAAGAAAAGGAAATAAGGGAGGGAGGGGAAGGAGGGAGGGAAAGGAAGGGAAGGAAGGGAAGGAAGGAAGGAAGGAAGGAAGGAAGGAAGGGAGGGAAGGAGAGGAAGACTTTGGTACTTACCTTGGAGAACCATGTGGATTTGTGCCTGAGCTGGCAGTAGATGTCAGATTCTGCTCTATGCGCTGATAATTCCTTATTTGAGTAGGAACTGGAATTGGGGCTGTTTCACTGTGAGATGACATGGTAGGCTGACACTGCCTGCAACCATAAATATTGAAGAAAGAAATATTGACAAGACTGTTTTTCTTCCATTTGACCAGTAGTTATATCTAGAGAAAATCCTAGAAAGAGCCAAATAATCATTTCAGTATGTAAGAAATGATCTTGTTAACAACTATATAAGCCGGGCAGTGCCTATGGTTCAGTGAGTAGGGCACCAGCTCCATATACTGAGGGTGGCAGCTTCGAACCTGGCCCCGGCCAAACTGCAACAAAAAATAGCCAGGTATTGTGGCGGGCGCCTGTAGTCCCAGCTACTGGGGAGGCTGAGGCAAGAGAATTGCCTAAGCCCAAGAGAAGGAGATTGCTGAGAGCTGTGACGCCATGGCACTCTACCGAGGGTAATAAAGTGAGACTGTCTCTAAAAATATATATACAAATATATATATCACATTTATCATCTAAGAACCCTCCTGGCATTCAAACGCATATTAAGGACTAAGAATTACAAAAATAACCTAGAAAAAAGTTCCCCTATAGTAACAGAAAAAGTCCACAGGTCAGCAGAACTGTTTGTCCACTTGCATTCTGCTATTCATTCTATGTGAGAGAAAAAAAGTATTTCTAGGAAAATATGCTGGGTAAAAGAACAGAAAGTTCAGAAGCAGAGCTGACTGGAATGTTTACAGCAGCCATGAACGCAGTAAGCATTCCCAAAGAAGTGCGACTCTGAAGACTGAAAACTAACGTGAACCCTCAGAGCATGCAACTAATCTGAGGTCACGTTTTCAAGTGTTAATATTTGGTTTATTAGCTTCTTTCTTCACTGTTCAGAAATTCAAAAATAGTTTGTCCTTAGATGACTCTCAATTCCTTTTACAACATATCCTGAAACATAATGGAGACAATACTAAGCCTTCATAAAGATGATTTATTTCATTACTCTGCCCTTTTATAATTCTAAAAAGGCTACATATAAATCTTGTACTTTTTCCCATTTACAACATCACAGATATAAATAATACAGTTATCCTTAAAATTGTCTCTCAAACTTTTTGAGCCATTAGAGTACTTTATATTTAAGTAAAATCCATCTGTAACAAAGATGTCAGTGGCACGTCATTCTATCTATTCCCATAAATGCTGAGAGGATTCGAACCCACCAGTGTATGCGGCTGGCACCCTACCTGCTGAGCTACAGGTGCCGAGCCAAATTCACAATCTTTAGACCAGGAGATCCCCAGTTGCCTATCTGTTTTAGGAAGAATCCATGAGTAAATCCTGTGAGGCTGACAAGTAACCACGTAGCTAGAGTATAATGCCTAGGGACACAGAGAGAGAAGGAAAGCTTCCAGGCACACACGAGTCCCTGTGCAGAGCGCCAGGCGCTGTTGGTGAGATGACAAACTAGCACAGCCTCTACGGAAAGAAGTACAGAGACTCCTCAAATAAAAGCAGACCCACCATTGACCCTGCAATTCCACTACTAGGCAGTTACTCAAATGAAAGAAAGACATTTTACCACAGGAATATCTGCACTAGAATGTTCACAGACACTCACTTCACAATTCCCAGGATGTGGAATCATCCCAAGTGCCCATCAAACCATGAATGGATTAATAAATGGTGGTACATGTTTTTTTATAACCGTACATTAATAAACAGTGTACACCAAGGCACATGTACACCACGGAGTACTACTCAGCCATAAACAGATGGAAATTTTGCATCCTTTATAACAACCTGGATGGATTTGGAGAAGATTCTCCTAAGTATACTATCTCAAGATTGGAAAAGCAAGCATCCCAAGTACTCAACACCAACGTGAAACTAGGAAATTAATAATCACAGACCCCCATTAAGACCAGCCTGGCCAACACGAGGGAAAATCTCAATTAAATTCAAAAAAGGAGGAGGTGGGCTCAGTAGCTTCCCACCCAATGAGTACAATGCATGAATATATGGTACATTCACTGTGTGTAGGACACAATTATAACTCTGAATTTTACTTGTCATGTGTAAATTATATAACCTAATGGTTTGTACTTCATTTTAATCTGAAATTTAAAAAAATTTAAAAAAAATAAGAGTTCCTATGTAGCCTAATCCTGCAGACAAATGCTGAGCCATAGCTCATGCTCCCAGGGCTTTCTGAGTAATGGGAGCCAGTTGGGGATAAACTATTTAATTACACAGAGGCTAAAGCAACAATAGAGAAGTAAGGGCCCTGCCAGGCATACAGGCCCATGGCTGCAGATAGATAGCTGGAGAAGGATTCCCTAAGAAAGGGGTTAATATGGCTGGGCTCCCGTAGCTCAATGGTTAGAGTGCCATGCATCAGGGGTGGTGGGTTCGAATCCGTCATGCCTCTACAGAAAAAAGTACAGAGACTCCTCAAATAAAAGCAGACCCACCATTGACCCTGGAATTCCATGCATCAGGGGTGGTGGGTTCAAACCCATCCAGGGTCCACTAAAAAATAAATAAATAAATAAGAGGATTAATATACCTAGAGGGAGGCTGTCAGAAAAGTAGGAACCAGGCCAGCTTCAGTGGCTCAAGCCTGCAATCCCAGCACTTGAGGCCAGGAATTTAAGACCAGCCTGGCCAATACCACAGACCCCAATTCTACAAAATTTTTAAAGAAAATAAGCTGGGTGTGGTGTTATATACCTGTCTATAGTCCCAACTACTTGGGAGGCTGAGGTAGGAGGATCATTTGAGTTAAGAGGCTACAGTGAGCTATGATCATGCCACTGTACTCCAGCCTGCTGACACAGTAAGAGGCCACCTCGGAAAGGAAAATGAAGAAAAAAACAAAGTAGGGGTCACCACAGAGATGATGCACCCCAATGGACCAAGGGCTGTACATGCAACAGGCCTCCATCAATGACCAGTAACAACCAGTGTTCAGAATTTTAATATGCTAACTCAGAATTCTGGGCATACAAGGATTGGATATTACATTCCCTACATGTACTGAAAACTGTCGTGTAGGTAATAAAGGAACTATTACAGAGAAATGTTTCTTTACTTTAAAAATGCACTCACTGGTGAAGGAAAGAAAAGTTAAAGAATTAACTTTAGCCAAAGAAAAAAGGGCAGCAAATCAAAATAAGTGAAAACCTGATAATACACAATCCTCAAAGAAAGGCAGCAAGTAAGTTAGTACAAGACTTGCTTGTCTGCTGCGGTTCCCAAACTGTGCACCAAGGGACCTTAAGGTGCCAAAGCCACTTCAAGGGGTGCCCTGGAGTACATCGAATTTTTTTAAGTTTTAGTTTGGAAACACCACTACTATTATAAACTAAAACTACTATTAAGTTGTTTGGCCTGCAATACTTAATAGAAATATTAGTTATTTCTTTCTATTAGAGGCACTGCTTTATTAATTAATTAATTTTTTTTTTTTTGAGATAGTTTCACAATGTCACCCTTGGTAGAGTGCTGTTGCATCACAGCTCACAGCAACCTCAAACTCTTGGCTTTAAACGATTCTTTTGCCTCCACCTCCCAAGTAGCTGGGACTATAGGTGCCCGCCACAATGCCTGGCTATTTTTGTTGTTGTTGTTGTAGTTGTCATTGTTGTTTAGCAGGCCCGGGCTGGTTTCAAACCCACCAGCCCTGGTTTATATGGCTGGCACCCTAACCCACTGAGCTACGGGCACTGAGCCACAGGCACTGCTTTAGAAAAAACACTGTCAGACAGAACTTATCCTCTGCTCTCACACCACAGTAATTAACACAGAAGACAACTTCCATGACCAAACGGAGGGTTCTTCCCCATACAGCAAGTATGGACACCAACTGAGTGTCCTCTAATTCAGTTCTGACACTACCTGGAGATAGAATCAGTCCCCAAAACGCCCCCACCAAGACCCCAGTCACAAGTCCAGGGCTCTAGAACTTCTGACCAACCAACTTCAAGTTGGGGTTCTCATTGACCCCTCTTTGGGTTCAATTAATTTGCCACAGTAGCTCTTGGAACTCAGGGAAGTACTTACTGACATTTACAGGTTTATTATAAGGGTTACTACCACCAAGGATACAGATGAAGACATGTGTAAGGCCAGGCATGGGAGAAGGGGCATGGAGCCTCCACGGCCTCCCAGGCATGCCACTCTCTAGGAACATCCATTCAGCTATCCAGAAGCTCTGGGACTTTACAATCTTGTAGAAGAAAAGCGATCAACTTTCTGATTCTTAAGACCCAGAATTGGAAAGGTAAGGGAAGATTAGAGTCCTGCCCCAAGGACGGGACTCCTGTACAGGTCAGAGAGATTCTGTTTCCTGAGGCCCAATGCACCCAACATTCTAACAAAAGACTATAACAAAGGCTAACAGAGTTATGAGTCAGAAACTGTGGACAAAAACATGTATCTGATAACATCACAGATGCTAAAAATTACTAGGAAACTAAAGGAACTTCTAGTTTAACCTATTTTACTGACAAACTAACATAACAGTTTCAAAATGGAGCCTTTTTTTAAATATAGCATTTTCTAGCATTTTTCCATGGCATTTTCTTTTGTTTCTCCTATTTTAAAAAAATTCCTTCAGGACAGGTGGGGTGGCACAAGCCTAAAATCCTAGCACTCTGAGAAGACAACGTGGGTGGATCCCTGAGCTTAGAGGAGTTTGACAACCAGCCTAAGCAAAAGCAAGACCCTGCTGGGTGGTACCTGTGGCTCAGTGGGAAGGGCGCCAACCCCATATAACAAGGGTGGCGAGTTCAAACCTGGCCCTGGCCAAACTGCAACAAAAAAATACTGGGCGTTGTGGCAGATGCCTATAGTCCCAGCTACTCAGGAGGTGGAGGCAAGAGAATTGCCTAAGCCCAGGAGTTGGAGGATGCTGTGAACTGTAATACCACTGTACTCTACTGAGGGCGATGAAGTGAAACTCTGTCTCAACAACAACAAAAAAAGCAAGAACCTGTTGACATCAACAGGCAATAAATAAGTAAAAAAAAGCAAGACCCTGTCTCTACTAAAATAGAAAAATTAGCCAGGGGATATGGTGGGCACCTATAGTTCCAGCTACTAGGGAGGCTGAGGCAAGAGGATTGCGGAGCCCAGGAATTCGAGCCTATAGTGTATTATGATTGAATCTCTGAATAGCCACTGTAATCCAATCTGGGCAACAGAGCAAGACCCCGTCTCTAAAAATAAATAAATACGTAAATAGCATTATAAGAGAATACTGTGAACAATATTATTGTTGTTCATAGTATTATACCAACAAATTGGATAACCTAGAAAAAAATGGATAAATTCCCAGAAATATATAACCTATCACAACTGAATATGAGTTGGAGTGCAATGGGTCAGACCTATAATCCCAGCAGTTTGGGAGGCTGAGGTGCAAGGATTGCCTGAATACAGGAGTTCAAGACCAGCCTGGGCAACACAGCAAGACTCCATCTCTGCATGTGGCCTATTAGTTCACAGCAACCTCAAACACACCTGGGGTTTCTATTTTTTTTTAAATAGAGATGGGGTCTCACTTTTGCTCAGGGCAGTCTTGAACTCCTGAGCTTAGGCAATCTATCTGTCTCAGCCTCCCAGAGTGCTAGATTACAGGCATAGACTACTGTACCCAGCCTCTACACAAAATTTTTTAAAAGGTGTGGTGGTACATGCCTATAGTCTCAGCTACTTGGGAGGATCACTTAAGTCCAGGAGTTCAAGGCTGCAGTGACCTATAATCTGGTCACTTTGCTTGCAGTCCAGCCTGGGCAGAGCAAAACATCATCTTGGAAAATAAAAACAAACCAAGATGACACAAATGAATGGAAAGGTATCCCATGTTCATGGATGGAAGATTTAAATGCTGTTGCTATATTAATACTACCCAAAGTGATCTACAGGTGCTAGCCCCATATACCGAGGGTGGCAGGTTTAAACTCGGCCCTGGCCAAACTGCAACAAAAAAATAGCTAGGCGTTGTGGTTGGTGCCTGTAGTCTCCCAGGTACTTGGGAGGCTGAGGTAAGAGAATCGCCTAAGTCCAAGAGCTGGAGGTTGCTGTGAGCAATGTGACGCTACGGCACTCTACTGAGGGCAATAAAGTGAGACTCTGTCTCTAAAAAAAAAAACCCCAAAACATACTAAGATGGCTTGGCACCTGTAGCTCAGTGGTTAAGGTGCGCCGGCCACATACACTGGGGCTGGCAGCTTCAAATCCAGCCCAGGTCTGCTAAAACAACAATGACAACTGCAACAAAAAATAGCCAGGCATTGTGACAGGCTCCTGCAGGTCCAGCCACTTGGGAGGCTGAGGCAAGAGAATCACTTGAGCCCAAGAGTTTGAGGTTGCTAGGAGCTGTGATGCCACAGCACTCTACCATGGGCAACACAATAAGAGTATCTCAAAACTAACAAAAAAACCCCCCAAAACATATTAAGCTATAGAAATCAAAATAGTGTGGTACTGGCATAAGCTTTACATGCAGACCAATGGAACAGAGAGCCTAGAAATAAAACCTTGCATATATTGTGAAATGGTCATAGATGACAGTGTCAAGACCACACAATGGGGAGAGGGTGGTCTCTTCTGCAAACAGGGAGGATAGCCACTCAAAAAAGAATCAAGCTGGAATCTTATCTTACATGAGATACAGAAAGGGATTAGAGACCTAAATATAAACTCAAAATTACAAAACTCCTACAAGAAAACATGGAGGGAAAGCATGATGACATTGGAGTAGGCAATGATTTCTTGGATATAACACTGAAAGCACAGGCAACACAACAACAACTAGACACACGGGATATCCTCAAACAGGAAAACTTCTGAGCACCAGAGGTCACAACCAACAGAGTGAAAAAATAGGCAACAGAATGAGAAAAATGCTTAAGATAGATTTTGTTTTTTATCAAAATTTTTAAGGAAATAAATTATAAAACAACAAAATAAATCTTAAATCAAGAACACAAAGTTCTATAACCTTCCTAACAAAAATAACAAAATATAACAATATTTTAGTGAAATACATGTAAACATACCCTCCACACACCAAGAAGTCCTGGGAGGCACGTCTGCCAGCAGCTCCCATTGGCACGTCACCTGTGGGAGAGAAAAACACAGTCAGTTCTGTTGAAAAAGCAGCAAACTGTGTTCCAGTGAGATTATCAGGAAACCATGTGAGCACAGTACAAATTTACCATTTACTTATGCAGTGATTCTGTCCACAGCAATAAGTGAACATAGCCAACTATACCAAGCTGAACGGACAGGCTGCCACCCTCTCCACACCCACTTCTGTAAGCAAACCTGAGGTCTTCTATAAGATAAGGTGCCATATTTACCACAGTGTTCACGTATTGCTCTATCATTTAACATGTAAAAAAACTATGCTGCTGGGCCTGGTGGCTCACACCTGTAATCCCAGCACTCTGGGAGGCTGAGCTGGATGGATTGCCTGAGCTCACAGGTTTGAGACCAGCCTGAGCCAAAGTGAGACTCTGTCTCTAAAATTAGCTGGGCATTGTGGTCCCAGCTACTAGGAAGGCGGAGACAAGATAATCACTTGAGCCCAAGAATCTGAGGTTGCTGTAAGCTATGACACCATGGCACTCTACCGAGGGTGACAAAGTGAAATGCTGTCTCAAAAAAAAAAAACAAACTAGGCTATTTTCATCAGGTTTTTCTGTCAGTAACAAAGGCTTTAAGAGTTGTGCCCTTAATCCCATTTTGCCCATAAACTCTATGGTTTCTATTGCACAGTTTTGCCCAGGCCCTGCTAAACAACAATGACAACTGCAACAACAACAAAATAGCCAGGTGTTGTGGCAGGCACCTGTAGTACCAGATACTTGAGAGGCTGAGGCAAGAGAATAGCTTGAGCCCAAGAGTTTGAGGTTGCTGTGAGCTGTAATGTCACAGCACTCTACCATGGACAACATAGTGAGACTCTGTCTCAAAAAAAATAAAAATAAGGCTTGGCACCTGTTGCTCAGCGGCTAGGGTGCCAGTCACATACACTGACACTGGCAGGTTTTAAGCTGGCCCAGGCCAAACAACACTAACAACTACAAAAAAAAAAAAAAAA